ACTTGTTGACAAGGGAAAACATACAGTTGTGTTAAAGACATGTCAAATGAATAGCTCTGCATGGAATTTAATACCCTCATGCAGTGAGAGCCTAGCTTTATGAATCAGTATAACATCTATATTCTCATAATTTTATTATAATAAGAGGAGGGATGAAACAGTCCACATGTCCTAAGCCAAAACTGACAAAGGTGAATATTATGCACTGATATATGCTTTCTATGCTTGGCACAACAATGAAGCCACAGATAAAATGCCTCATAGTGCCTCAAGAGCACCATTAGCCAAATTAGAGGCTTATGGTGCTTTGGAGTTGGAAAAAGGTGATTCCAGGGAATTTTCTGCTGATATAGGGCAGCATTTATTAATTGAATTGGCTTGTTGCAATGGAATATGATGTCTCCTCAAAATCATCACCTTCATTGTCACATGGCATGTAGCCAAACCAGACTTACCTACTCCTTGCTGAGCATATCAAGGACTGCCAACTTTTCCATCCTTGAAAATACTCTGGGCCAATTAACATGGCCCAGTGCCAACTTCGCCATCATTGAAAGTACTATGGGCCTATCAACATGACACAGCAATGTCAATAAACATACAGGTCACACAAGCAATGCATTTTGATCAACTGGTGTAATTTTTTACCACTTGTGATTTTGAGACTGCTTCTGATCCCATGAGAGCTGTGGCTGCAAATATCTGGTGGTCGATTTCACCGGTCATGGGTTATAGGCTCATCCAAAATTAACATTCCTTCGAAAGCACATGCACCCCAACCTGCTTTCATGGACTTACAGTAACTGGTCATATTTAAGACACATTACATATTGAAGGAATAAAACAATTTTTTGAAAAATGCACTAAGTCTCATTTTCAAGTAATTCTGAAATATGAACCTGAAACTGTTAACCCGCCTATGTCTTGACAGCATGCAGCGGTATTTTTTGTGGAGTGCTTACAGGTCAAAATGCTGTTTTCTATGTGCAAAAAACAAGATGTGTTTCCATAAGCATAATGGTAGATGTGAATAATTAGCAGTTCTCTGAGCTTACCCACTACACAAATTTTGTCCTGTACTGACAACCTATCAAAAGGCTACATTCAGTCAATTAAGTCACACAATTGCATGACCACTAAACAGCACTCCATGGAAAGGAATGAGGTCACTTTTCACAATGAAGACAGCCTGACAGCTCCAGATTTGATCCAGCATGATATGATAGAAAACAGATGTGTGGTTATTATCAAGACAAACAGAGGCCTTTAACTCATAAGGCATGGAAACAAATAATTTACATATGCAAGCTACCATGTCCATTGCACTAACTTATGATCATTGTGGTCACTCATTTCTAAAATTCAGGAATTGTCAATGAATGGGCTGCCTCAATGTACGTAGAGTAATTCCTGCCTGGGACAGCTTCATAAGCATCCTGAGCCACATCATAAGATACATGTACAAATTAAGTCCTAACTATTACTAACACTAAGATACCTCATTTTATGCAGAACGGCGACAGCTATCCACGGGCACTCCCAGAACTCGACGAGATTTCAACTCTTCACCCTCTCCAGGTATCTTGTCCGTCCTTGAAAGGATGAAGACGATGACAAATATGTCATCCAGCACACACCTCAAGCCAATTTCACCAGCAAATAGCACTTTGCATTATCTACTCCGGAACCACTCCCATAGCCCAGCGGCCATTTCAATCTGTACAACTGGGTTACTATCGCCAACAGCCACCAAAGCAATTTCAAGCTGGCATTTCTGGCGCACCAAGAAATACGCGGCGGTTACGGTGTTTTGGCAGAGGCAAAAAATAAAATATTCAGCTAAAGTACAGCACGTTTAGGTTGTGCCTCCTTACCTGGACTGCTTCACGTTATCATTTTTTATGTAGCTATTTGAGATATGTTAGCCAAAAAAGCGCGATGTGGAATGACGTGTGCTGAACCATGGCTCACAAATCACCTAGCCTATACACATTCAGAGTCCCGTTTAGTTTTCTGCTGCCACAAATATTAGCCGGAGTCGCGGCAGAAATGACCACGTTTATACTGTAGAGTTATGAGAACGGCAGACAACGTGTGAAATATATATATATATATATATATATATATATATATATATATGCTGGTTGGATCTAAACGATTATTTATCTATCGAAAATGCATGCTTCTAAAATCACAGCAGGCTTAGCACTAACGATCTTAATGGATGTATTCTCGGTCGATCTAATATCTGACGATGTTCGTTAACACGTGCTCGGTTCGGAGGGTCGAGTTGACCCCCCCCCCCCCCCTCCCCCGCCCACCGCCCGAAGGTTGTCAGGAATAGCTTCCGAACAACGGCGCGGCCGCGCCAAATTTTGCATAGCAGTAGACAGTTGAATGGCGGATCGTCGAGGCGAGGGCAGTTTCAATAGAATCGTTCAATGTGATCCAACAGCGGAATGTTAGACGAAGCCATACAACTCTGAGATACTTTCTTGGGCATCCCAACAATGGAATGAACAAATTACATTGACCTAAGGTCAGGTATGAAGGTCAGATAGAGCTGTTGCAATCAGCCTGCGCGAATTCATTAACAACAGAAACTGCATTATGCACCTTCGATAGACTCCTAAAAGGTCAGAATAGGCCACTGACCTAGAATGACCCAGGTCAACGTTTCGTTTTTAGGAACATATTGCCTAGCGTATTATTTGTCGCTTATCCAAATGCAAAATTCAAAGTGGTCTTTTATTTTCGTCATCATGATCTTCAAAAGGTCAAGCAAGGTCACTGACCTCAGAGGAGCATGTGAGCTTTTGCATAGGAGGGTTATCTAGATTCTAGGTGCCCTTAGGAGACCAAATTGGAGTATGACCTGGTTTGACCATACTTGACACCAATATTATGGCCTACGAACCTCGAATTTTGACCTAAGTGAGTTTCCGTATAGGTCAACACACCTGTGCATTTTGTATATCTAGCTCTTTTAGTTCCTGAGGTCTCAGAAGGGGGTCAAATTGACTCCTACCCCCACCCGAGAGAAGGGGTATCCAACACGTTCACCTGGACGCGTGTAAAAGATACGTTAACTGCTTGCTGCCTGCGACGCTTAATTCCAAAGGCAGAGCTCTGCGAAGACCCGGACTCTAGAACTGGCAGATTCGAAATGTCAAGACTTGCGGTGGATACAAGGGCGCCAGCGGTTATCACCGCCCGCCCTCTCTCCCTCCCCCAAGACACGGTTAAAACATGGGGACAGTGCGAAAAATTCCCGGTATTTTCCGGGCGGCTCATTCGAGTTTTCTCCTTTCGACTGGATGGCTGCATTGGCCCCTGGTAATTACACATGTCTTATATTTCACACATATTGAAAAATGTACCGGATTTTGCATGGGGGCGCAGCTTGAATCTTGGTAGGGAGAAGAGTGCACAGGGTGCACAGGGTGCAACTTCTTCATTTTG